TAGGTATGTGGGTGAGACTAAAGACATTAGCTACAAAAATATCATTTTTTAAGAAATCCAAAATTTATTGAAAAATGCTTATTAAATATATCACATGAAAGGGCAAGACCAGTGATACAGGTAGCAGAGAGAAAGGATCCAAGCCTTAAAAGTTAATTTTCCGTGGTGGTTCAGCTAGCTTTCTCTTTAGCTGAAAAGGGATTTCCTTTATCACCTGGAATTTCAAAGTGCAGCCATGTATACAGATCCTTAAACTAATGACACCATTCATTTTCTCAGGCACAAACCACCAAATAACAGTACTTAAAGATGCTACTGAAATGTATTTACTTAAATGATCTGTCTAGAGGTTGCCATTTCTTTACATTGTTATCTTACATTTTGATAAGGTTTATAACAAGTCCAATGTATTCTTTTTTCTCTGTGACACTGCTTTTATAGCCAAGACATAGCTGTATAAAGGTTGTAAAGAGGGAGTAATGGAAAAATTATCTTTCTGGCTCTTCTTCTAAATTTATAGAACAGTTTTGTTTAGTTGAAAAATAAAGATTTAGAATTGTATTACTATAAAAAAATCATCTTTTCATGGTTAATGGTGGCATAGTAATATGTTAAAGAACACAAGCAGATTATTCGGCATTCTCCAACTAGCCACATTATTAAGTAATGACCTACAAATATTGTCATTTGTAAGATATAAAGGACATTTTTGCACCATAAACTAAAGCTGTGCATTTATCTCCTTTCACACTTTTCTTAAAATGAAGTTATACAGTGATAGCATCCAAATGGCTATCTACTGCAAAGGCTATAAATGCTGCAATAACAAAGTTAATAGGATAATTCTAAGTTGTCATTCTGAAATACTGATTAAAGCAATTGTTAAACTGAAAAGGTTGTGCTTGTTTATAGAGAATAAATTTGAATATAATTCTACATAAACACATTAAGAACTGTATTTCAGTGGCATTATAGCCTTCTAAGGAACTGAAAACTAATCACTAGTAACTGATAGATAAATTTAGTATTACTCAGACTCATAGAAAAAAAAAATTAAATAAAAACATTAAAACTCATCTTCTATAAGCCTCTGAAATTTTAGCTTTTTTCTTTGTGTTTTTTAGTGGTTTTGGATTGGTTTGGATTTTTAAGAACTGAAATTCATAAATTTTGTGCAAGAACTTTTTTACAATACTATGGTAAGAGACTTAGCCGTGATAAGCAAATAAGAAGTGAGGCAGGGGAAAATGAATTGACTTATCAATCAAAACTAGCATGAATGAAAAAGAGGTATTAGGGCTTGAATTTCTGACTCTCAGAAAAATTTACTAGACATTTTGACTTTCAATACTTAAAAATTATGTTGCTAAAATCAATAATAGACAGACCTAGGCTGAATATAGGAACTACATCAGTTGCTTTGGAAGTCAAAATTTCTTTTGTTTCTTAGCTAGAAAGAGACAGTAACAACAGTGTCATCGGTTTTGGTTGTTTTGTTTGTTTGTTTGTTTGTTCTAGCACAGGATATTATCTCCTTCTCAACTGATTCTATCAATCAGATAAATGGGAATTCACTCATGGATGAATCATAAGTCACAAAGTCTGTTTTCTTTAGGTGTGGAACACTAATACTACTCTTCTCTACCACAGTAGCCTGCAAACGCAGAGAACAATTCTCATATCACAGGTGGTGGCTGTCACAATTAAACTAGCATAGAGGCAAAAGCTTTAGGACTTCCTTTTATTCTGATATATAAACATCAAGCTGGGTTTGCCTGAGTTACAATTTGGTTACTGTTATGTTATTTGGGCTGTTTGGTGAACTTTACTTAGAGCTTACAGTATATGTTATTTACCCTTGAGTCAAATCTCTGCTATTCAGAGGGCCTATATCACTCAGTGCTTTAAAATCTGATTATAACAATATGTTTTAATTTTAAACTCTATAGGAATGTAATGAGAAAATGGAGGAGAAAGAGCATAAGCATAGTTACCTTCATTGGCAACAGACGAGCATACTGTGCATCATGCATAAACTTGAAAAACAAAATTTTCTTTCCAGGATTACAGTAAATTTTGTGCCCTTGAAACTCTCCTTTGCTGATTTGGAAAGGTTACAAATAGAAAAAAAGGCTCTAATCTAATTATTCAGTATAATGACAGGCTCTCAAAACTATTTATGCCTTCAAACACCATATTTAAATATGATCTAAAAATACTGTAAGCAGTGATTTTATATTTTTCCACAAATTTTCAATAACTAGAATTCAGGGCAATATTAGACCTATGTGTCATGCTTCCTATCTATAAAATATTTTTCCCATTTCTAAACATTTTTTCATCTTTGTGGTATTTTTTAATTAATTTAATTTAGGTTACATTTATTTTGTTTTTAACTGTGTTTCTATTTTCAATGGTAATACTAAATAAACTTTCATTGAATGCACTTATCAATTAAACCCACAATTTCATTTTTAAAATGTATTGGGTTTTTTACTCACCCGTTGGCCATAAACTATACTGTTTAGAGTCAATTTGATTATGTTCCTTTAATTCTGCCCTTATAGCTTCTTGTTTCACTTTTTGCACTGTTCAGTTGTTGGTAACCATCCTAAAGTTAATTACATCCTCCAGATCTGTGTTTTTATTCAATTACAGGTTTTTTTATTTCTTAGATAAAGCCTCAGACAACTTACGATCTTGCTACTTGATGATGATAAATAATCCTCAGGGTTTCAGAGAGCTCATCAGACTCACTGAAAGATATTTCAGTAGTTTTCACTTCTGGTAATCCTTGAAGTTTATGTTATAAATATTCAGCCATTGTTCCTCAATGAATCCACTGGTAACTACTATATCTGCTTTTCTTTCCAAATGGTAAGTGAGAATTTATTTTGACTCCTTAAGACTGTTCTGAATTATTCTAAACTAACAGCTCTATCTATGTTAATAGTGATAAAATTGTTAGAATTTCATGTGTCTGTACCGTATGCATGTTCTTGGTAAAGGAAATAGGTCCTGACCATAGACTCATTTTCATGAACATTTTTAACTGACTTCCTACACTCCCAGATATTCTCCCGTTTGTTATTTTTGTTAAGTTTTTAATTACTGCTTTCTCTCTTAGCAGAGATAGCTTTAAAACAAAAGAGCCATCTTCTGTGAAATTGTAATTGTGTGTTTTATGAGGGATGGGTAGCATCTAATAAATGTCTTCATATTCTCCCTCATCATTAACATTCTTCCCACCCAATTTTGTAGCTGATGGGTTTCAGCATCAGGAAACTGACCCTTTAAGAGCAGCAAGATACATACTATAGGCTGAGACTCTGCTACATTTTCACTTACCATAATAAACTAACATCCAAGCAATACATCAGTTTTAGTGCAGCAGTGAATGAGACCTTCTAGAGTTTGAATTGGCATTGATACACTTTGTTGTTTTATTTTTTCGAAAATTCAAATATGGTTTCAATAAATAATAGTGGTTTATCATTGGAGCTACCTGGGATAAAACATAAAATACATAACTCTGTATGTAATATGGATAGAAATTTAAAGAGCTGTTCATCTTATTCTGTCTTCCAAACTTATGATCTGTAACATATCTTCCATTAGCACCTCCTTTAAAGTATCAAAGTGAACACTGACCTACAACAATATCACAGGTCTGCTTAAACTGATGAGTCAATCACTCTAAAATGGTTTATGACTAGAGCCGTTTGATTTTTTTTTTTCTTTCCTCCAAATATGGTTTTTCAGACTTTCAGGCTTTTCTGCTACATTGTTAATATATCATTTTGATAAAGTTTCATAGGAATATTCTGTGTGTGAAAGAGACTTGAATCCTACATGAATTAATGAATTAGGATGCTTGAGAGCCTTGAACATACTCTTAGAAAGTAGGCTTATATACATTCTGCACATATAAAAATTCAGACATTTTGAAAAGTTTAGAAAAAAAACAACAAATTTTCTATATTCCCACATGTAACAAAAGCAAGTTTTGAAACTGCGAATGGTTCCGTGAGATGGAAATTGTCACACTCACAGAGGCAGTTTAAAGACGTCATCACAAATACCTTTTGAACCATCCTTTTTCAGGAAGTTATATCATTTGTTTTGTTGTTTGTTTTTTAAAATCTATTGTGCTGTTGTACAGAAATTTTAAGATTAAGTAGCATCACATCTACTTACAAGCTTTGCTCCTCACACACAAGTAGTCTTACAACAGTTCCGATTCTGCTACCACAACATTATTGAACTGCAAATTATATGTATAGAGAAAGTTTGCAACCATGGCTACCACTCTGAGAAAAAAGTGTGGTAGCTTTTTTCCCAAAACTGCCACCTAGATCAGTCTAGTTGCCAAAATACTGCCATTTTTTTTTCCCAATGTAAAATTAGAGTTCAAATTTAGTAAAGACTAATCTAACACATGGTTTAATCCATAACAATTTTATTTTAAGTATGTTATATAGATTACATAATTTGAGTACATCTCCAGGCTCGTTATATTTTCAGAAAAACAGCTTCACTTTTTCCTAGGAAATGTAATGCAAGATAAGATGGATCATGTGGTTCACATAGAGTTAGTACCACTGAGATTTTACCGTCTTTCACTGAAATGTTTTTGATTAATACGTTCTTATTTTCAAGAGATAAAAAGCATTGGACATAGAACATGATAAGTATAAAAAACTGGTATGATAACAGTATCATTAAAGAGTTGGATTTAAAACAGTGGTTTAGATCATTTAGTCTTACACAAAATTAATAAAGAAAACGTGACTAAGAACTAGTCACAGATGAACTGGACTGAGAACAGCATGTGAAATATATCCCCACAGATCAAAAAGTGAAAAATCAAAAATTATTAACTCTTTCACAGACTACATGAAACTCCCAATAATGCAGCCAGCAGGGTTTTTATTATTGTTCTTTATTTAGGCAAGTAGAAGCAGCATGCATTTTTTTTTTTTCCTCTTTTTTTTTTCCTCTTCTCATGTTATTTGTTTCACTTGTTAAAGTAATCTTATTTTTGCCTGGGCATCTGCAGGTGACTTTGGACTTTTGTAATCAACTTCACAAACTGATATAGTGTGCTTATGGGTAGAATGATATTGTGTTCTAATCAGCTCCAGATGGTAGAACAGTCTTTGCAATTTCATTGCTGTTTTCTGCTGTAACATCTACCAAGTCAGAGACCTAAACACCACTGTAGACAGTCAGACAGAAAACAGCACATACTCCAAAAATGCAACATATAAATGAAGAAATAAAAGGTAACTGCAAGACAGTTTGAGGCAGAAAAACAATTGTGGATTTCATCTTAACAGTGCCAAATAGATCAGACTCGCTGCTGTATCATAGATTTCATGCCAAAAATGAAAAGGCTTTCCATTGACTCCTAACTGAAGGGATGCAAAAGTCCCATACACCAACAGACTTAATTCTGAACCAGTCACCCAATTGGAAATAGATCTCTAACTGGGATTAATGAATTCCAATAGAACAACAGAGTCTTTACTGTTTTAAAAAATGCCAGATTAAGAAGTGTAGTAATGCTGTATATTATTACTGTATCTATATAGACTGTAATATCAGAATTCCCTTGAACAGAAATAGGGTATTTTAGTGTTCATATCCTTGTGTGTACCCATGACAATTTGGTCATAGTCACAATATGGTATGCATAACATCTGCAGTTGAAACGTAACATAGTAAAAATGTATTTTTAAATAGGTATATCATTATATGATATAAAAGCAAATCTATACAAATAAGGAAGAGTGAAAAACATTTAGAGAAAAGTAAAATGAAAAACTATCAGATTCTATATCATCTGCTTTTTCTAGATATTTAGAATCTCAATATATTTAATATTACCAACTTCCAGAGCCTTCCAGGATTTGATACAGAATTTTCTCAATTTTAAAAAATACATATATATATATACTAGTTTTATGATGATCAACTGCAAATGCAAGTGTTCAAGTATCAAATTTGGTATAGCTAATAACCTATTTCTGTCCCCCTTTGCACTGCAGTCTATCAATCATGTTTTGTCATTAAAACTGTTAAATCCAAAAGCAGAACCATAAAGTTTAAGAGTATCTATCAATATCTCTAAGAGCAAAAAAAGAATCTGGAATAGATTTGATGAAAATTAATCTGATAAAAATGAAAGAAAGCAAAATGAATAATTTGCTACCTCATCCAGGTATATGAAATACATTATGGATCTTTTCTGAAAAAACAGGAATGAGTCACTGTTTATTATATAATTTCCATATCTCCATTAAGATAAATAAAATGTTAGTATGTTGAAAGATACCTAAGTATTGGAAATGATTAGGAAGTATGAGCTGAAGAAACAACATGCATTTTGAAATGGACAGCGAGTATGAAAGTCTTAGGGAAAAGGACACTTTCTAGAATATGATAGTAAGTGGGGTCATACAAATAACTACAGATTATACTAAAATATCTATTAGCTAAAGAAGTATCATCGTGTCATACAGTCGAAACAAAAATTCACAGCTTGTATTTGTGTAAATATTTTTTCCTCCAGGTTGGACAGAGCTTTGGGCAACATGGTCTAGAGTGAGGCATCCCTGCCCAGGCAGGGGGGTTGGATCTAGATGATCTTAAGGTCCTTTCCAACCCTAAACATTCTATGATTTTATAAGGTCATCCAGGTACATACGACTTGCAAAATCAAGGCCTAAAATTAGTTGATTCATTCACTCTAAGTAGCTATAGGTGAAACAATATAAATATAAATATAAAAATAAATAAAATAGATTAGCTCCAGTCTTCATGTTGTTCTCCTTGGGGAAAAAAAAAAAAAATTAGCTGCAAGGTTTCATCCTTCTTGACATTCTGATTGGCTAAAATTCTCTCCTGGTCTGCCCTTTCTTACATACCACAGCATCTCATAGGTGCTTCAGTAGCAAAGACTGACTTATAAATACACTACAGGAATACTCAACAGACACACAGGAATGGCTTTGTGCAACATGATTGTGAACATAAGCCGCACAGAGCAGTAGATAAAGCATATTCCTTCAGACAGGCTTCCCAGAATAGCAACAAGCCAAAAGAAGTTCAGTTCCACTAGAGCAGAGGTGGAAGATATAAGAGGAAAATGATCTGCCTATACATTTTGAATAAAATACTGAAGTGTTTTAAGACTGTTACGTGATAGGTAGCATGTAACATTTACTTACAGACGCATGCCAGTACTGGGAGGGGACAGCCACAAAGTTCCCATCTTAGTCCAACTTCTTACAGTTTTTAGGGAAATCATATCCAGAATTCTCATTTAGGGCTCTCTCTAGTAATGTAAGAAATGCAATATTCCATCCTTATCCCCAAAAAAGAAAAGCACTATTTTATTAATCTGTTTCAGTTTGCCTTATTTATTTCTGACTGTGTGGCAGCTGTGTAGACCATTATGCTGGCCTGGAAATGTAAATTATAATGTGAACCAAAAGAATATGTTCCAGATTTCCAAAGATTCTTGAGATATTAAGTAAGTGTCATATTTTCATACTTCTCTTCTGAAAGCTGAACACATCCCTCTTTACCATGATACAGAAGTTCTCAAGTCATTTGTGTTTTTAGGAAGCCTTTTCCCAGAAAGTTATCTCCTCCTATAGCATCTGACAGAGTGATTTCTCAGAGTATGAACTGATAATATTGTTCCCGAGAATTAGTTTTTAAGAAGCATCTTTTGACTGACACTCAGTTTTAATAACTTTCCAACTTTTAGGCAGTAGGAGTTATGGGCTTCATTCCCTCACTTGTGATCAGTAGAGCCTCATACAAGCACTGCAGAGCTGCTTTTGGGGCTTTTAAGGTCTAAAAATTAAAATAAAAAGTCCTACATGTGTGAAGTGTCAGTAAAAAAAAAAAACCAAACAAACCAAACCAAACCACTTCAATATAGCCAAGTAGCCAAGGTGACTATTTTTTCCAGTGTTGTTATTACTGATTTATTATAGCATTACAGAAGCTCTCTGGGCTTTTTTTAACTTTCCAATATCCCATGTTAAGAGTAAAACTAAATTTCACTTTAAAAGTGCTGGAATACAGTTTTGAAGACCTTTTATAATGTATGCTTCTTATTTTGCAAAGTAAACTTTTTCACAAATTGCTTCAGTTTGGTAAACTGATGTCCTCATCCAAAAGTATAAACATTATCTTCCAATTAGCTGAAATACTTAAGAATTTAGTTACAGTTTTATGCACTTAATTTTAAGAACAAGGGTTGAAAAATGGTTTACAAAGCTTGCCTTTCTCTTTTCTTGTGTTTTGGGGTTTTTTTTGTTACTTTGTTGAGTTACACACATACGCACACACATGCCTATCCCCATAATATATTAAGGCAGATTTTTCAAAGGTCATGCTGTTAAACTCAGAGATAATATGACATTCTTAGACAGCAAAGGTGGGCCACTGTACCTGACAAACATTAAAAATTAATAGGAAGCTATAGTCCTGCAAAACTTAGGATGCTTCAGAGTCATCTGTCTCAGACCTATTGTAAGTGACAGGATATGAGATTGTTAGAAAAAGAGTGAAATTTTACGTTAAAATGATTATATAGAACAATAGAAATGACTATATTTGAAAAGTTTTCGAATCAATAGTAGACTTCTGTATATTAAAAGAATGCTGTAACTTTGCTGTGGTAGCCTCAGCAGTAGAAACTAACGTAACAACGAGAAGGATACAGGATGCCTGGCCTAAGACCTTGTAGTTTAGAACAGGGAAGCTTTGTCAAACTGTGCGTCTTGGTAATACAGACATTCATAATTTTTGTATTGCTTACAAGGAAGCTTTGTCTAGAAATGGAAACCATGTATCTTAAGTAGCAGAAAATTTCATCTCTGCAATATTGGTAGCTTTGTGAAATCATTGCAACACAAAAGGACAAGCCAAGTGAGAAAGCGAGAATGCTGGCGACCACATAATGGGTGGGGCCTGTCCAAAGAACAGAAAGGTGAAAAGAATAAGGGGAGGAAGACTCCTTACTTCATCGGGACGACCACCAGAGGGGGCTGCGCAAGCGCAGAAGAGGCTGAAGTCACACACACACACAGAGTATCACACAGTATGCTAGAGATTGGAAGGGACCTCAAAAGATCATCTAGTCCAATCACCCTGCCAGAGCAGGAACACCTAGATAATGTTACACAGGAATGTGTCCAGGCGGGTTTTGAATGTCTCCAGGGAAGGAGACTCCACAACCTCCCTGGGCAGCCTGTTCCAGTGTTCCGTCACCCTCACTGAGAAGAAGTTTCTTCTCAAGTTTAAGTGGAACCTCTTGTGTTCCAGTTTGTACCCATTACCCCTTGTCCTATCATTGTTTGCCACTGAGTAGAGCCTGGCACTCCCCCTCTATATATTTATAGACACTTATAAGGTCACCCCTCAGTCTCCTCTTCTCCAAACTATAGAGACCCAGCTCCCTCAGTCTTTCCTCATAAGGGAGATGTTCCACTCCCTTAATCATCTTTGTTGCCCTGCGCTGGACTCTCTCCAGCAGCTCCCTGTCCTTCTTGAACTGAGGGGCCCAGAACTGGGCACAATATTCCAGATGGGGTCTCACCAGGGCAGAGTAGAGGGGAAGGAGGACCTCTCTCGACCTACTAACCACCGCCCTTCTAATACACCCCAGGATGCCATTGGCCTTCTTAGCCACAAGGGCACAGTGTTGGCTCATGGTCATCCTGTCGTCCACTAGGACCCCCAGGTCCCTCTCCCCTACACTGCTCTCTAACAGGTCGTTCCCCAACCTATACTGGAACCTGGGGTTGTCCCTGCCCAGGTGCAAGTCTCTACACTTTCCCTTGTTATACTTCATCAAGTTATTCCCTGCCCAACTCTCCAGCCTGTCCAGGTCTTGCTGGATGGCAGCACAGCCTTCTGGCGTGTCAGCCACTCCTCCCAGCTTAGTGTCATCAGCAAACTTGCTGATAGTACACTCAATTCCCTCATCTAAATCATTGATGAATATATTAAATAATACCGGTCCCAGTACTGACCCTCGAGGCACTCCACTAGTTACAGGCCTCCAACTAGACTCAGCCCCATAGACTACAACTCTCTGGCTTCTCTCCTTCAGCCAGTTCGCAGTCCACCTCACTACCTGATCATCCAGTCCACACTTCCTCAATTTAGCTGTGAGGATGCTGTGGGAGACTGTGT